CTGAAAGACAAAGCAAATAGAAGAGGAAAGTCCCTGTGACCGCGGGAAGCCATCGGGCAGGGCAGGCAGCAGCCTGGGCTTGTTCCCGGACTCGGGCGCTGCCCCTTGCCAGTGCCCTTTGCCCCACGTGGAAACGAAGGACTGACCTGCCAGCCCACGGGCCCTGGGAATGCGCCACGTCCCACGGGGAGGCACAGCGGAGAGAGACTTCCACAGTCCCCTCCAGGAGCCCGAGGAACCCAGCTCGTCCGAGTGGGCAGGGCAGGCAGCAGCCTGGGCTTGTTCCCGGACTCGGGCGCTGCCCCTTGCCAGTGCCCTTTGCCCCACGTGGAAACGAAGGACTGACCTGCCAGCCCACGGGCCCTGGGAATGCGCCACGTCCCACGGGGAGGCACAGCGGAGAGAGACTTCCACAGTCCCCTCCAGGAGCCCGAGGAACCCAGCTCGTCCGAGTGCCAAGGCAGGGTCACGGCTGAGTGCGGGCCTTCCTCGCAGAGGGGCCCTAGGACGGGGCACCCCCACCTGCTCTGGGCACTGGGCCGGAGGGGAGGGAAACACTGGGCCTCTCTGGGGGGCTGCCGGTACCGGGCCCGGGGCCGGGGAGGCAAAAGGAAACCCAGTCGTGCTCACTGCCTGGCTTCAGCGAAGGGCCGTCCCGGCCGTGGCCAGTGGGACCGGAGGGCGCCTGTGGATCACACGCATCCCTCTGCCGGACGAGCCTCCTCACAGCACGCTCCTGCCTCAGGAAATGGCCCAGGGCCACGACAGGCCCGACAGATGGGGCGTATTTGCACGCACACTCCCACGTGCTGGAACGGCAGCATCCCGCTGCAGGCGATGCTGGATTCGGCTCCCGCGCGCCATCTCAAAAGGGGCGTTTCCTGACCTTTGGCTGCGTCTCTGCATGCCCGAGGGGCGGCACACCCAGCCCTCGGCGTCACGGCCCCGCTTTGCCAGCCGCTCCCCCGCCCGAGGTCAGCCCCTGCGAGCAGCCCCCTCCTGCAGAGCAGCACGCTGTGCAGGGGGGTCTCCGGCGCAGCGTCCACAGGCAGATTCTGGGGCCACCTCGGGAGCCCCCGGCCCTTTTCGGCAGCACGCCATGCCAGGCAGAACTTTGCCAGTTTGCCAAGATCATTTTGAATCCTGGCCCCACCCCCGCAGCTGCTCGCAATCCCCGCCGCCTGCAAGCGCAACCTCGCCGTCATGACCCAAACCACGTGTGATATACCCCAGAGAAGCCCCTCCAACATGCCCTTCCAGCGTGACGCAGAAATAACGACTCTCGGAAGACGGTTCTCAGACCAGCTCTGTGCCCACTTTATAGTCGGCTGCTTCTGGGTAGTTCCTGAGAGACAACAGCCAAAGCCTTACGAAGTGCACGACCACGCTCTTCTGCCTTGAAAGGACCCCGGCTGGCCAGAGAATCCCTCTGCGACATAAAGGCCCGTGTGAAAGAAGAGGACGGAGCAGATGTTAAGGAGGCTGCTAAGGTAGCCTCAAAATGTACAAGACAACGGAAAATCAGGTCCCGAAAGTTCCCTGCCCCAGCAAACACACCTCCTGTAATTAGCGCTGCACGAACGCCCAAGGCCTGATATGCAGCTGAGACAGAGGGAAACGATCCTTGGGACTGTCCAGCATCCAGATCTCTTGCTTAAATCAAAAGCACATTTTCCCAAACAATACTAGTCCTTGACAGGAGTCCAGTGCTCCAGGCTAGAACTGGGTTAACACCGTCGGCTCCAGAGCTAAGGCTGCAGCAGGATTTTCCTCTCAAATGAGCCAGTGCAGCCGTCTAATTCTGTTCTGTCTTGAATGATTTTTACGTGTCTATGAAGTGATTGTTCTTAGCAGGCTTGTGCTGTAGCATATACCCTTGCCTGGGATATACTGGTACCCTTATTTGTTCTGTGGCAGTGTATCTTATTTGTTTTTCCAAATTATTTTCTGTTTTTCCAACTTTTCAGACTGGGGGCCTCTCCTTTAAATTGGAATTGAAATTCATTCCATGTAAACTAATCAGAATTCACATTATGTAGTCAATGAGACTATTGTGTAGGGCCACAACACAGACATTGAACGAAACGTGAAGAGCCGTTAATATCCAGGTTTCCCCAGGACATCAGTAATGAAGAGGGAGGGTCGGGGGCACAGGAGTTCATGACACATAGCAAAGGCACCTTTGTGATAACTATAGACAATTCCTCCCCAGAAAAATGCTACATCACAGAGGGGCACAGCAATGCACAATGTCCAGTGCTTGTCTTTGTCTACAAAGTCACAGTACATCATGTCACATTACTGAATTGGAGGGAAGCAGCCAGATCGCTGCTGCACCCCTAGGTGGGGGTGTTGGCCCCAGAAATTGGTATGAAAGGGAGCCATGTGGGGTATTGAATGGGAGCTTATTGTTTGTTAATCTTATGTACACTATTTATGTGAGTATATAATGTCTGTGTGTGTAGGTAGGAATCTGTAATCTGTGTGGAAGCTGAATATTTCTGTGAATGTGGTTAAGCATGGCTATGGACAGGCTGAGTAGCAAAGCCCTGTGGAACAATGGCTCTCAATAGGCTATGGACACACCCAAAGAATGGGATTTGTCACCTGAGGGCAGCCAGCAGGGAACATAGAGATTGGCCTCTGACCAGGTGACTTGCTGCATACAAGAAGAGGCCAGGAAGGGGATAAAAGAGGCCATGCGGTCGATGCCATTTGGTTCTCAGCTCAGCACTTCATCCTAGAGGCAGCACTGCAGGGATTGAAGAGCCCGGAAGACCTGTGAACCCATCCTGATCGTAGGATGTGCAATAAGAACTTTTAAACCAGCAGCTGCAACATCTCTGCTAGAGCCTGCATCGAGGACTGGGAGATTCGGTGCACGTAACGTACTGTACTTTAATAACCTTACTCTCAGGCTTTTCTTTCTTGTAATAATAAACCTTTAGATATAGATTCTAAAGGATTGGCCCAGCGTGATTTGTGGGTAAGATCCAGAGGGTAAATTGACCAGGGATCTGTGGCTGGTTTCTTGGAACCGGACAGAACTTGTTCGGGGTAGGTGGGATTGGGTGCTAGGACCCCCCACCTGTGTATAGGCCCGGGGCCATCTGGGGTACGGATATTGCTGGGGTGTCGGAGGGGTTTTGCTCGGGAGGCTTCAGGCAGGCTGCTGAAGCGCTCTGTGAGACTGGTTTGTGGCCTGTTTGGAGAGGTCGCCAGTAAGGAGCCCCGGATTTGAGCAATTCGCCCTGAGCGGACGCCCTCAGCTGTGCCCAGACACGGCCCGGTCCGTCACACATCATACTATGCAAACAGGACTATTTCCACTGCATTTACTACTAAATCAAAAGTACGGAACTTACCCAACCACCCCCCAACCATAAAACCGATATCCATAGATTATACACTATGATAAAAATCAAAATAACATGTCGCCTACACTCAAGATCCGCATAGCTATTGCTCAGCCTTGTAATATAGCAGTGACACCTCCGCAGAGCATAACTTCACAAGGAAGCACGTCACTTTATTATATGAACTTTCTTATCTTAAACTCATACAGAAACACACCAGATCTGGACACGGGAGTTCCCTGCACATGCATCTCAACATTGCACCAGCTCTTCTGGCCACAGCATCTCACGCTGAGCTCACAGTCAGCTGCTTATGTACTACGCCCCTCAGATCTCTCTCAAAATCACTGCTCCCAAAAGAGTCCGTCACCCTGTAAGTATGGTCTCGGCTCTTCCCTCCTAGGCATACCAACACTCACGGTGTTTGCTTGGGATCAGTTTACCAAGCCACTCAGTTTGGTCCGTATTCATTATATAGCCCTTCCCCACATGTCCGGGTCATCTGCAGACTTCATCAGTGATGAGTTTGTTTTCTTCCAGATCCCCGATGAGAACGTTAAATCGTGTCAGGCCCCCACTGGAGCCAGGCCCATTCAGTAACGATTCCACATTTACAAGTCAGTGCAGAGATGCGTCAGCTAGTCAGTTTTTAAATCTACCCGAGTATTGCGATCGTCCCATTGACACTCACATTGGCACGAAATGAGCTTTCTTTTTCTGGTCAGCGGGACCGGCATGTTGTTGTTATTTGACAGGCCTATTGATTGGCTTGCCACGCATACGCCTAATGAAAAATAAATAACCTTTGAGCAAAGAGGAGACCTGGAGCACTTGAGCGCATAGCAAGAATATTTTAGAAAGTTCTGAGCATACGAAAACACGATTAACAAAGGAAACGGTCACGACCTTAACAACAGGGGTTGCTACCGACAAACGCTAATGTTTAGTTTAAAGAAGTGTGTAGTTAATGGCGGCGTTCTGCTCACTTACACCTCTCCTTCTTATACTGATGACTCTGACGCCTGGAGGGGGTTGGTGTCTAAGCCCCCACTTGAAGGATGCACTAGAACCAGCTGGAGATGAAGGGAGGCAGGTGAGTGGACACAGCAGACAGTTGTGTAAATCTGCTAATAGAAGTGGAGACTGGGCAGAGGCAGAACTCACGCCCAATCACGCAGATGGGACCAGCCTTCGCTCTCCAAGGCCAGTTCGGAGGGGGGGATCTCTCTCCTGCTCCTCCAGTGCAAATGATTCTTCTCCAGCGCCATCAAGTCACATCCGTGACTCACGTGTGGCCTAGCAATTCTCCAGAACCATCCGAGACAAGCGCAGCTGATTGGAAATGTAGCGGCTGTGCCCTTTGGGTATTTGGGGCATATCCACTGCTGAGACTCTACAGTGGGCTTCTCTGTGGACACTACCGAACGCTTTCAGAACCCCACGAAAGGTCAAACCTGCCTCCTGCTGGTTATTCTAAGCTTCCTCGAGACAAGTTTCTGGTCTAAACACAACCCATCCGATTTAAATCCAGCCTATTCTCGCCTGAGTACTTTCCCAACAGCCGTTTTCGTGCTATTCGGAGTTGTAACACACAACACTAGTTACAGATACACACAGGAGTGTGACCCCTCTCCAGTTATCCCCAATAAGTTGGTCCCTCTTTCTAGGGCTCTACAGGTGACGCATCTTCTCTAGTCTTTAGGACAGATCTCCTTTTCCCAAACCGTCCTGTTCAACCAGCACGTCTTCCTCTCCAGTCTTTACCATGTCAGCATGTATCTATCCTAGCCTGGTACTTTACCACTGTTTAGTTGGTTTATAGCTTCAGTTACTTTCTCAAAGGCGATTTACTGCTGGATCTACTGACTCTGGTTTTGCACTTACCCTCCACCTACCACAGTGTCACCTTCTTTAGTTTCGATTGTTCCAGTAACAAGATTTTAGTCACTTCCTACATCGGCATTCAGATACACTCGGACTTGGTCCTGCCGGAGGGCAGGTGACTGGATTCAATGACCGCTCAAGGTCCCTTCCAGTTCTAGGGTTCTGTGATTCTAGATTGATTCTAGATTAATCAGTTAGTGACCTTCTAATGGCCTACTAAGCAACACGTTCAAGCTGATTCTGAGTGAAGCCATCGTTTGATCTCCATGGCAGAGACAGTGTGCCCCCCAATGCAAAGATCAGAGTTCCACAAAACGTTCTCCATCGTCACTCTGTCCAGCAATGCCATGTCTGTCCATTACGCGTTCGTATCCTGGATTATGACCAACCTGTGCATTTAGGTCTCCCAGGAGGAGAACGTTATGTTTGCGGATCTTACCTAGGGCACTGAAAAGTTTTGTACAAGCAGCTTTGTTTTGTCCATCATTATCCCCTGTTGGCACAGAATACCAAAGAGCCGTGATTGCTGCCTGGTTCACCACAAAGCGAGCAGCCAATGGTCTTGAATGTCCCGGTTCCCATTCCTTCAGCGCTTTAGCAACTTCCTTGCTCAATACGAAGCCTACAGCTTTCAGGTGTTCGTCATCCTCTCTTCAAGAGCCGGATGATAGTTTGCCTCATGCAACCCACTCTGAGATATATTAGGCTGAAGATTTTCATTTCTCTAATAACCTGGGCTCCAAAGTGATCGAACATTTCAACATCCAATTCACACCTGAACCTTATCTGAGGAGACACTCGGTTTTGGATTAAGAATTCCCTTGTGTCTTTGATTGTCCATCAGCATCATATTGACTAGCTTCACGGACTGTCGTATCCTGTGCCCTGCAGGCCATGATACGCCACAACCGATGGCTGTTTTTGCGAACTTGTGACCGATTTGTCTTGTCTCGGAGTTATTTCTCCTGCAGAAAGTATCTGTGTGTGGACAGTTTTTAGCCTGACTCATAGCCCCCTAGCTGGAGGACCTGTGAACACTACAGAATCATAGCACTGATTGCTAATTCAATAAAAGCTCTGTATAACTAACTAATGTGTATTCAGTGTCAGAACAGGCAGAAACACCACATGTAACTGGTGGAAACAAGAGAGTATTCCATCCCTACTTCCTTTCCGTATCGTTCCAGACTTTGGAATAAGAGAGACGGCTGCTGCAGAGAACACTGGTATGGTCTGGGCAAGAGATAAGCTCCGGGACGTTTTGCAGATGTTACAGTCCTTGAATACCAACTTGGATGGAAAGAAAAAACCCTTTAGGAACACGAAAGCAGCAGCTGCTAGAGGGGCAGATCATATCAGTGCACAGAAGGCCACGACGGTGCCCACAGGAGAGAATGCTGCCAACAGCGCCAGATATGTGACAGACGGAGACGAGTCGATGACTTTGTCTCTTTGGAAATACAATGTGTGTGAATGAAGTGAAGGCAAGAAACGGTTAAGCCAGGGGATCACTGTGCTGCTTGTCACGCATCCGGAAGAGCAAGAGCCACCTACACCCTAACATGAGACTGCGCGGCTCTATGGTGTCTCTATGCCTCCGAAACGTGGCCTCATCTTGGAAATGCACCAACAGGGAGCCACGTGCTTTCTGCCAGCGTTGCTGAAGAAGAATCCGGGGGATTCACTGGTGAGACCGTGTGGCCAAGGGGGAAGTGCAGCACCAACCGCGTGGATCAGCAAACTGTGCACTCAGCAACCAGACAGAGAAGGCCACAGCGGTTTAGCCACGTCATCGGGCCGAAGCACAAGAGCCCATCTGACTGGATTCCCCCCGCAGGGTAGAGACGCTGTGGAGCACCCATTGCAGGATGCTCAGAGGCTTTGTCTACACTATGGCTTTTGCCGGAAGAGGCAATGCAAATGAAGCGCTGATTCCCTTGTCCCTCTCCCGGATAAGGGGGTTTTGTGCAAAACAGACACATCCGCACGGCTTGTTTTTGTGCAAAACTGGCTCGGAATAGATTATGCAAAGGAAGTGCAACAATATGCTAATCAGTGCTTCATTTGCATTGCCTCTTCCGGCAAAAACTGATAGTGTAGACATAGCCAAAAAGCACGCCGTGTCTGCTGGCAACGGCCAAACATCTCGTTCTGGGCAGAGAGCAGTGCGGGCCATGGGGCTGCCTCCTCATCTGCCACCGGGCACGGGACAGCCTGAGTCTACATCCCACTGAACGTCTCCACCAAGCAAGAGGCTGTACAAATCCAGTGGGGCCCTGACCGAGCAGTAGCTCCCTGCAACTCCATGGGAACCCCCTGCGCCGGCAGGAGAGAGCTGCGCCGTAAGCCCCGCACGAGAAGGGAAACGCTCGCCGGCCGGACCGGCAAAACACACACACACACACACACACACACACACACACACACACACGACAGGCTACGGCAGGTTTATTGTGAAACCCGAGCCAGCGGCCTTGTCGCTACCCACAGAAACACCCGGGGCAAAGGTTCAAAGGGAAAGGAGGGGGGAGGAGAGAGGGAGGGAGGAGGAGAGTCTTAACCCACGCGCCAGGCAACGGAGGGAACCACCGAACTCTGCCTATGTCTCCGTCCCTGGAGCCAGCTGGGCGGCACCCTTCCGCCCCAACACGATCTCGTCCAACGTGAGGACTCCTCCCTTCACCCTGCCTTTGTCGCTGCTGTTCCTATGGCAAGGGAAAGGAGGGGGGAGGAGAGAGGGAGGGAGGAGGAGAGTCTTAACCCACGCGCCAGGCAACGGAGGGAACCACCGAACTCTGCCTATGTCTCCGTCCCTGGAGCCAGCTGGGCGGCACCCTTCCGCCCCAACACGATCTCGTCCAACGTGAGGACTCCTCCCTTCACCCTGCCTTTGTCGCTGCTGTTCCTATGGCAACTCCCGACAGACCAGATGGAAACGGGGCTGTTGTCTAGGCAAATCCGTCCTCTTGGATTCCTCCGCTCTCTTCCCCCATTCCATCCGCCCCACTCCCTGCTCCAGCGCATTCCCGGCGGGCTGAGCCGCTGGCACGAGGCCCAGACGGGCTGGACGCAGGCCAGGCGCTGCATACAATGTAGTAAAACCACAGCCTCTCGCAGCTCTCCTGCTCAGGAAACAGGGCCCATGTTGTCCCAGGAGCGGGCCAGGCTGCAGTCTTGCATTGCAACACAGGACCGACTCGCAGGCCCCGCTCTGCCGCTGCATGGGAACGGGGACAGCCCAGCGCAGACCACGCGGGGAGTGGGCTTTTTCCTCTTCACACACTCACAAATATACGTGGCTCATGGCCACTTGAGCTCTGCCTCCGTGGACGCAGGGGCCGTGCTCTGCAGACGTGCGTTACGTACAGCGCCCTTTCTCCAGGCCGCCAGCAGCAGCTTTCCTACGTCGGGGCCCTGGCACATTTCATTTGCGTTGTGAACATTTTTTAAAAGTCCCAACAAGGAGGAAAAAAGGCCCAATGGAGCATCGGGGGCGGGCGCCCCTCGGTGCTGGGAGGCTGGGGTTGGTGCCACCTGTGAGGTTGGCAAACCTGTGCCAAGCGAGGAGCACAGGGAGCGTTTGCTCCTGTCGGCCTCGGGCCATGGGGACGCCGCCCAGCTCAGCTTGTGATGAGCCGACTCCAGCTCCGTTGCGTTCCTTCAGCCGAGCTGAGTCTAGTGCAGACCTGGCCTCGGGTGCCAGGTGAGAGCCGTTAATCCACCTCCCTGAGGGGAGCAGCCGCACTGGTGGGAGAAGCTCCGTGTGGCTGCACAGCACAGGCTGCCCGTGGCACCGGGTGGGCAGGACTGTGTAGCTCAGGGGGGAAGCATTTCCCATCCGGGTCTGTTCCGGGATGAGACCGGAGCATCTGGACAACCATTTAAAACAACACAACGGCCTAGGATACATGGAGATCTACCACCTCCTAGAGCTGGAAGGGACCCTGAGAGATTGTCGAGTCCAGTCCCCTGCCCTCACAGCAGGACCAAGGACCATCCCTGACAGATTTGCCCCAGATCCCTAAATGGCCCCCTCAAGGATTGAACTCACAACCCTGAGTTTAGCAGGCCAATGCTCAAAGCACTGAGCTAGCCCTCCCCCCAGGGCTGTATTCCCTGAAAGGAGTAACCGACCCAATGCTTGTGCATGGCCCAGGAGAGCGCTGAGCAGTGCAGGACATGCGTTTCGGGAGCCACCCTGGCATGGGGAGGGGGTCAGAGGTCATCCTGCGGTAATGTTGATGGCTGGCAAGAACCAGGGTGTGGCTGGCTGCAGCACATGCAGACTTTGGCCGGGATTACCAGAGTTCTTCTGGCCACGGCATCACGCTGGACACTAATGTTCAGCTGATTATGTATCACCACCCCCAACTCCTTTTCAGCGTCTCGGCGTCTCAGTGGAGTCGCCGTGGGGCCAGCTGGGCCTGCCTTCCATCTTCCGACATGTCCGCGTTTACATTGGCTGTTTTAAAACCACACCGTTCGCTTGCATCCCATTTAACAAAGGCTCCGGATCGCTCTGACTCAGTGAGCTGGCCTCTGTGTTATCTCCCACTCCCATTTCCAGGGTGGCTTGCAAACCGCATCTGCAACCATGTTGTTTTCTTCTGGGTCATTCGTACACATGTTGGATAGCGCAGGGCCAAGAACCAACCCCCGTGGGACAGAAACCCAGCCGCCCAAGCAGGATTCCCCATTTATAGTTCCATTTGGAGTTAGCCAGTTGTTAATCCATTTAACGTCTGCCATATCCATTTGATATAACTCTAGATTTCTACCCAAAACCACGTCGGTTACCAACCCAAACATGGAAGAGAACCCATCTTTATCAACCAGCCTTACTCCCAGCAAGACAAGACACCAAGTTGGTTTGGCATCAGGGTCTATCCCCAAGTCAGCCCATGCCGACCTGCATTCACTACATCACCCTCTCACTCGACGGGCACAAAGCAGAGGCAGCCCCTGATCTCCCGGCTCCTGCGGCGGCGAAGGAGGAGAGGAACGGGCGGGGCAGCTTTCGGCTCAGCCCATTGAGAGGGACTGGCTCAGCCCAGCACGCTGGGAGACAAGGAAGGGCAGACTGATGAAACCCAAAGTGTGACCCATAGGGGAGCTAGGAAATGCAGACAACAGCCATCTCCTGCCTCGAGCTCAGTTTGGGGTCCACTGCGACTCATGCTCCCCCTCTTTGCCCTCTCCCGCCACGCTTCTCGCCTGCACTTACTCCTCCTTCCTCCCAGCACGTTCGCAGCACTGTCTGCCAGCTGATTCGCAATGTCCAAGCTCTGGGAGGGAGGAGGAGCACGAATCAGTGGAGCCCTGGCGCTCCGAAAGCGCTGGGAGGCAGGGGGTGGAGGAGGTAAGTGCAGGGCTCCTGCACCCGAGCACGCAAGAGGCGCAGGGGATGGGGGCAGAGAGGGGATGCACGGAACCCCAATGGGCTGCAGATTAGGGACCTTAAATTTCGATTCATTAACAAATCGAATTGTCGATGGGATTTCCATGGGCTATTCGCTGAGTTGATAAGGACTAGCGCGGCGTTCCGCCTGCCCCAGCAGAGCAGCAAGCGGTGGGAAGCGACTAGTGTCGACTATCGGAGAAGCTTTTGCTAGTCGATTAGTCGCTTACCTCCCTATCGCAGGCTGCCCCCACCGGATTTCAATCCCGCGGCCCTCTCAGACCCACTCACTAGTCCTGGCTGCCCATCGCTGCTCTAGCTGATGTCCAGCCCCGGGGCTCTGGCGAGCACACGCTCTGCATTTAGGCCAAAGCTAGGACTCGAGGACAGTAACTGTGACATTGCTGCAACTCCCAGAGAAGAACCAAAAGCCTTGGACTATCCAGAAAGCCTGTCCCGACACCAGCGTGGAAAAAACCAGGGAAGTGGAGGCTCCTGGGAATCCCTGCTGGATGAAGGACGCAGCTGGCTACGAATCGCCTGCCCAAATGGCCTTTCTGCACAGTGGGGAAGAGACTGTAACTGTCCGGCAAAAAACTCCTGCCCCCTTCCCCCGATACCTCACTGCCTCTGTGCCCAGACAACACGCGTACTGGAAAGTGGAAGCTGGGGACGTGAATGGGAGCTGAACGTCACAGCAAGCAGCCAGCTCAGGGGAGCGGATGAATGGGGTTAGTTGGGAGCGGAGTTCTCATTACAGCCTCTCGTGCCCCATTTCCCCGCCGCGCCACGAGAGCGCTGCCAAACGCAGGGACCTGACCACAGAATTTAGCGTCAGCTTGCCCCGGAGTAAACGAACCCTTGGTTCTGGGAGGCCACGGGTTTAAGCTGCGTCCTCAAACGCCATCTGTCCGGGTTCACCTCAGTTATGGCCCTGATAGTCCCCCCCCCCCCCCAGCTGGGGCTGCCCCACGTGCCTGCCACCGTGCCACCATAATGCAACGGGCACTCAGCTGGTTTGGCCGTTGGCCTGGCCTCCTCCCGCAGCCCCGAGACCATTCCCAACCGAGATGTTCTGCAAGAACAGGTCACGTTCTCCTGCTGGGTACCGGTGCGCTGCGCAGCCCCTCGCGCTGCTCGTGGGTGCGGTGTTTTCACCCCTGAAATGCTCCTCCCAGAGACCCGGGCAGCCTGGCCGTTTTCAGTCTCCATCCATCTGGCGGGGATGGTGCCCCGCCCTGTGCTGCTGGCTGGGAGATTCTTGGGAAGAGACAAAATTGTTTGCTTGGCCTGCCTGCCCCTCCTTCCCTCCGCCCTCGCCCGTCCAAGAGGCTCGGTGCAATCTTCCTGCTGCCGCCTCTTCCTGAAATCCCATCCCCAGCGGCAGCGCTCGGCAGCCCCGGCTCAGGCTCGGGTTATAGAGCAACAGGAGCTGGGCAAAGCACCAACGAAGGGATGCCAGATCCGGTCCAGCCCACGACGTCACGCGCCCCAGGAGCCCCCCCAGCGACTTGCTGCGTTAGCATCGGACAAGCCCACACTGCCAAATGCTAGAAGCAGCCCCGCCCAGTTTAATTACTCGCTGGTCTGCTCCGCGGGGCGGCAGCACGGCTCCCGAGAGGGCCAGACCTACAGAGCCCCACACTTGAAACCTCCGGTGAAACACAGGCTGGACGTTTACACGGATACTTTGCAAACCCTCTGGGGCCAGGACCACGGGTCCCAAAGTGCATAGACAGGGCCTAGCACACAGGGGCCTTTGGGAGCAATGTTTGTAATGAAACACAAAAGCCATCAAGTCTCGCTGGGCTTCATCCAAGAGCTCCAAACAATCTCAAGCACGAACTGGCTGAGCTGCTCCCAAAAATATGCATGCTCCTCGCAGCCCGCCAAAGGCACCAAACGTGTTAACCAACTGTGATCCTGCGCACGACAGTCGTGCACAAGGAGGCTGGGCCAAAATGGGGGTTTAAGAAAGGACTGGGAGAGGCGATCAGGAGACGCCGGCCTGGATGGCCACGCTGCTCAGCGGAGGACACAGAGATTCAACGTTTCCTTGCACCCGGAGGCCGCCTCAGGCCTTGTTTACTGCTCGCCAGCCAAACCCCGCTGCAGCATGGAGTTACTCATTTCTTCGTGGGCTGCACTAGGGCCCTTATCCCTGTCGCAACCGGGTCCCTCGCAAACATGAAGGAATTTCTCTTCTCGGTTCTCCTGCGAGTTCAGGGAGGGCTACTATCCCAGTTACAACCGGGAAATCGAGGGAGAAACAGTCCCTTCCTGTACGCCAGGTTCTTTGAGACGTGAGGCAGGCCCGTGTCGGCTCTGGAGGACACAGGACCAGCACGGCCGGCCACGTGGCACGGTCCCGGAGGAACGCTGTGGACACCGCTTGCACGCTCATCGAAGGAGCCCGCGTTTGCTGAGGAGGCGCAGACGAAGCCGTCGTCGGTCTCGAGAGGGTCTGTGCAGAGACGGTTTGTCCCTTCACTGGGTCCGCGGAGGCGCCGAAGCATGAAGCGGCTCAGTCCTGTTCGGATAAAACGCGAGACCATCGGACGCTGGACGGGGGAGAGGGGCCAGGGCGCAATCACTGGGGCAGGGGCGGAGCGAGCAGAGGGGAGGGCCTTGGCGAGAAAGAGGCAGCATGGAAGCAGGGCCCCGCGGGGAAGAGGCGATGCAGAGGCAGGGCCTTGAGGAGAAGGGGGGCAAAAGGGAGGGGCCCTGGGAGGGGATGAGTGAGGAAAGAGGTGGGGCCGCAGTGGGGGGGAGCAGGGGCCCTGCACTCCCTTAGGGAGCTTCCTGCGCTCCTGGAGAGGAGGAGAGCGGACAGTGCGACCGTGCGGCACCTCGTGTAGTGGAGACGCTCGCTGAGGCTGCAGAAGGCAAGAACGGGTCTCCCCCCGCCCTGGGATTTTGGGATCAAGAAACACCAGGAGTAGAAGCCGAGGCCCCGGTGTTTCGACAGGATTCCTCCCCCGCGCACGTCAGCAGAGCGGTTGAGTGAGACGTGCCCGGGCTTAGGTCATTGTTAAGATCACTCAGGGCGAAAAATGGCCTAGCAGAGGTGCTACAGTTTTCAGGGGCCTATTGAAATTAATTTTAATTCATATACTAATGAAAATTCATTCAGTGCCCCGGCCCGACGAGGACCGTACGCGCGGGACGGACACAGGGCACAGCGCCCCGGCCCCAGGGCCGTACGCGCGGGACGGACACAGGGCGCAGTGCCCCGGCCCCAGGGCCGTACGCGCGGGATGGACACAACGCATCCTTCCTAGCAGCTGAATCTCTAAGTGTAGAGCTCAGCTCACCCGATCTGCACAGCTCCGACTGGCACTTCCATAACAGAGATCGGCCTCAGGCCAAAATCCCAGGTCCACCTGCCTCAATCTCTTGGGAAGCTCAGCTCCTCCTCCAGCGTTGCAGTCAGGCCTGTCTCCCCACGGGACAAGTTGGGGAGAGAATTTGCCAAAGCAGGGAAATGTTCCCTGGGCTCTCTGGAGCGTGCTGGGCCTATGGAGAGGCAGGCGTCTGCAATCTCTGGTATTTCTTATTGGCACGAGGTCACTGAAGAGGCAGCCTAGGTGAGATCATGTCTTTGATACATCCGCAGGCTTCGTGTCTTATGGCTGAAGAGAACCTGCTTCGACACAGAAGCAAAACTCCATCCAACCACACATTGGCCGTTGTCACCTACTACCCAGCACTGGAACCTACAACCCACGCTGGATGGGAATCACATCCTGAAAGAAATCTGGTCCAAAGCAGTGTGTCCTCTAACCGTTTATGTCCAGGTGTGGAATGAATTTTGTGATGTGCACCAATAGGGAGGTGATGTGTTACAGTCCATGGTCATGCCTTTGTCGACCACCCTGTTATGCCTCGTGGGATGAGGTTTACCGGGGAGATCGACAAAGGCTTCTGATGTCGACCGCTGAGCATCCAGACTCCCGCGCTGTGCCGCCAAACAGCTGATCGGCACAGCACGGCAGCCATTTTTATGTAAATGAAGCGGCGATTATTTAAATCGCCGTCGACAGAGCCAGGTAGCGTAGACCTACCCTAGATGTCCTGTATATGGCTTCGTGATCCATGGCATGAAGGGGTATGGCAGGTCTCTCAGGAGCTCTGTGGGCATTGCAACAGCCCCCACGGCAGTGTTTCTTAAACTTTTTAACACCAAGAAACACCAAACAATATTTTTTTTTAATGAGGAGCACCAAGGCTATGTCTACATTGGCAAAATTTTGCTCAAAAGCAACTGCTTTTGCGCAAAATCTTGCCACCTGTCTACACTGGCCGCGAGTACTTGCGCAATAACACTGATATTCTAATATATAAAATCAGTGCTTCTTGCGCAAATACTCTGACGCTCCCGCTCAGGGATAAGCCCTCTTGCGCAACTGTTCTTGCACAAGAGACCTGTATAGACACTTCCCATGCTGGTGTTAGCGAAACCCTCCTGGTGACTCACACGCACCTGCAACCCGTGGGAAAGCGCCCTGCCGCGCGAGGGACTCTGACGCAAGGAGGTCCAAGGCCAAGCTGCGAACGTGCGCGCCATCTATCACCCCTCCACAGGGAGGAGACTCTTCTCTGCAAAGCCACCCACAGTCTCACACAGGTCGCTCTGAATCAGAGTCTCTCTCACAGCAGGATGCGATTAACGGCCCTGCACACGGCCCCCGCGGGCTACTTCCTGACTCCGAACTGATTCGCAACCAACTGGCAGCAGCCAGGCCTGGCCAGCGTCCACGCTGCAGCCACCGCGCACTTCTCCGCCCAGGGGGCGCTTC